TCTGCTGAACATGAAATGCTGGAATTATTTTTTTTTTAATCTCTCCCCCCGCCCCTCTGGGCTCCCTCATTTGCTGGAGGCCTTTAAAATTCATTCCTTTTCACAGCTGGTTAAACAATGGAATCTTTTGGCAAACTAAAAGGACAGAATTGATTGCCCTACACAAACTTTTCTGCACGTATAATTGATTTTTAATTCACTGCCTTATTTCCAAAAGGACTTGACAATAAACTCGGTGCTGTATGTGCAGTATTGATCCCTCTCAACAAGGGCTTGGATCAAAGACTGATGCAAGTTAATCACAAACAAAAGATTGTTATCTTTCATCTAGGAACCTGTGTTTAAACCAAATTCCCCTTTTTGAGCTGTAATACACCTTGTATGTTCCAGCTGTAGTGCACCTCAGCACTTTGTAAACCTGCCAGCTACTCAGTAACTATAATTTTATGCAACCTTTAAATAACAACTTCTTCCCCCAAGCAGAATAATTTCATCCTTCACTGGTCACTTTTGACTGTGAGGGCTGACGGTTCTTTTCCACTCTGAGCTCTTAGAATAAGACACAGACAAGACCTTCCCACCCGTGCTCAAACTAAAATCTTATTTATTCTTTAAACCCAGCTCCTACAAGGCCAATCAGTCTGAGTCTGGTGGTTTTTATCTCAGTGCTCAGCTAAGTTCCAGTTGTTACTGATCATCACCCTTGCAGACGTGGCTGGATCACTAAATTGCAGCAAATGTTCATTTAGTGGGACTCTCACTGTTCATTTTTTTGGGTAGAACAATGGCACTGGGCAGTAACTGGTGTCCTAACCTTCCAAGCCCTCTCCAGGAGTCAGCCCTGCAATGCTGCTCAGCTTTTCCAACCCTCCTTTATGATTTCTTTCCACTCGACCCTTCCAGAGGCTCTGTTTCAATCTGGCTCTGAATTCCATTCTCTGTAGCTGCCACATAAACAGTAAATAAAATCCATGGTACTTGTGCCCCAGTAAGCAGCTCTGTCTCCCAGCACATCTGAAGAGCCCTGGTTTCAAAGGAGAACATGAGAACAATGTTTTTTCATCAGCACACACTCCAAAAAGGGTGGATGAGACATTTGAGGATGATTCCAGGCAAAGGAGCCAAGCAAATAAGTCTGTGGGTTTTGCATAAGTAATTCCTTGACCTGCCACACTGGATTACAAACACTTGCAAACATATTAGGAGAGGGGTTTGCTGTATCTTGTCCTTTCTGGCAGAAGCATCTCCACTTGTGTTTTATGATAAACGAGTTTAAGCTGAAGCCAGGTGTGGATATTTTAAAATTTATGAACTTGTAAATCGATGTACACGGCCAATTAAGATTTAACACCAGCCAGGATTAACCACCCCTGCACATCAATGGAGGAGCTGCTTTCAATGGAGGTTGTTTACCTCAACCACTCGACATCAAGAGCCAGGTAAAATATTCAAAAGGCAGAGTATTTCAAGATAAAAGGCAGTTATCAGGGATGTCACGGGGTGGCACTGCCAGTTCTGCACAGGGGGACAGAACCTTCCTAAGGAACACTTGGCAACTTCCTCCAGAGAATTTAACATGGATGGAGCAAAGTGCAGAGCAAAGGGAGGAACTGCCCAGTAAAGAATGTCCAAGTGCTGCTGCACCCACATCTCCTTCAGCTTGGGAAGGCACAGCCCCGAGCTCCAAAGGTGCTTCAATTAAACCTCACCAGCTCTTCATAATCAACATCTGAATGCTAACGAGGAGCACAGCTCCATGCAGGAGAGCATCCCTGTGCAATAAACTGCAGCAGAGCAGCAGCAAACCCTGCCTGCAGCAAGCATGCATAAATAAACAGAATTAATAACTACCCAAGTGTGGACGGGTGACTTAATCTGTTTCGATTAGATGCAGCTCAGCCCCAGGCCTTTGTGGTATTTAAAATGTGTTCATCATGTTTAATTAAAAACCTAATAAACTGGAGGTTCCTGCAGTTCTGATTCGGATTTCTCCCTCCTGAAAGCCCTATTGATTTCGTCAGAACTTTTGACAAAGAGAGAGAAAAAAGCACATTGTGAATGAAGAGATAAAAGTGTGAGCTGGGCTGGGGCTGTGGGGGGAGCAGCAGCCAGAAGCAGCTCCTCTCCTCCTCACTGCCAGCACATGGAGCACTCCAGAGCAGAAAACCTTTCCATCAGGTGACTAAAGCTCGAGATGCTCACTGTACCCTGTGTAAATGACCCTCTTTGGGAGGTTATTGATCCCAAATGGGAGCTCATTTTTGCACCTGGAGCAAGAGCAGGCTCACACTGCACTGACATCACTGAGGTACAAAAGCCATTTTGCAGAGATTTTCTCACAGGATTTTTTGTGGTAATTTTCTAAGGACAGTTTGCCTTGGGAGATGTTCCCACTGGAAGCACAGCAGGGAATGGGGATGTTCATTTAACCTCAGCTGGAGGAGCTCCTGATCCTGGCTCCAGGTTTGGGATCTCAGCCCCATCATCAGGGCAGGAAGCAGAGGAAACAGAGGCACTGCCAGGCTCATCCCAAGGCTCCAAACCCCACTCCCAGAGCAGCCAGCAGGGATTTCCTGGTGGGGAAGAGCAGAGCAGAGCAGCACCATTCCATCCTAGGGGGGACTTCTGCCTGCCTGCCCCCAAAACCTGGCAAAGACTTAGAGGTGCAGAGCAGAACTCACTGCTCTGACACCCTGGGCTGGGACTGAGAGGAGATTTAAACCTGGAGGAGGCACAAACCAAGACAGCTTTGCTCCCCAACAATCCCCCTGCTCCATCCTGCTGTCTGGGGAAGCTGCAGCCCCTGGGCACCAGGAGATGCTGCTGGAGGATGTGTGTGCCTCAGCCAGGCAGTAAATGTGGCAATTGCTGCAACTTGCCCACAGGAGTGAATTCTCTGCACTGCCAGAGAAAGCAGAGCCTGCCCATCCAAGCTCTGCTGGAAATGGATGCTGCCAGGGGGGGAAGGAGCCCCCACAAACAGGAAACAGCTGCTGGAGGTGCCCTGGCCACTCTCAGGCTGTGTGCAAGGCTGGCTCTCCCCCTGTGCCTCTGCATTCACACACTGGGACAAAAAAGGCTTTAAAAATAGCCACAGGTTCAGAGACACCAGGGAAACAACAAAGCCCAGCCTTTGTATTTACACAGCCCTCACTAACTCAATCAGTGGCCAATTTTATCCTCTGTTTAATTCCATCTAAACATCTGCAACCACATCAGCAGCAGGAAAAATAACACAGCTCCCATCCTTTGTTTCAGTCAGGTCTGACACTGCCAAGCAGCTCCTGCCTCCCAGTTTGGACACAGGCAGCAGAGCTGCTCTAATGGAAAACAAAGGCTCTGTCTTTGGGCAGCCAAGTCCACAAAAAAAGTTTTAATGTGCTGCTATTATTATCATTATTATCATTATTATTTTTCAGGTTAACTGATCAAAGCTCTGTATCAGGTGTGGGATCTGCTTATTTACCCAACTGCAAACTTAAATCTAAATATTTAAATTTAACTAAGCCACATTTGCTGGGCTGCCAGAAGAGATTTAATACAAGTCTAGCCCAAATAAGGACAGGGATTGGGCCTGGGTCTCCATTTCCCTCAGAACTCCCTGGATTATCCCCAGCACGTGTCCTGAGATGAAGGGGACACTCAGAGTTAATGCTGTCAGCACAGTTCTACTGTTTTGGACACACTTAGGGTTTGAGAGCTCAGTATTTTCTGAGCAACACTTGACTGCAGAATTCCTCCTCACTTTCCCAGGGCTGCAATAAGGAAACTTCTCCTGCAAGGCTCCGAAATGCCCCGAAATGCAGCACAGCTGCTTTGGGCTGGAGCTGCAGGGACCAAGAGGCTCTGAGGCCGTGCAGGTGGAGCTCTGCTGTCTATAAATAAGAGCACAGTTTGATCTTTGGCTCTGCCCAGCCTGGAGGGCTGCCAAACGTTTCTGGAAACTTGGATGGAGCAGAACAAGAACAAATATGATAAAATGAGCTGGGGCTGACAATGATTTATGGAGTCAGTGATCATTACTCTGTGCTCACAGGCTGCACTTCTGCAGTAATGCTTCACTTTTCAATAAACTTTGGTTTTTTCCATGGGTAAGGCTCAATTCTCTCTCATTTAGCACGGCTGGATCATCCAAAGCCCTGAGTGCAGCAGCTCCAGCACTCACAGCTCAGCGCAGCCGATGGAAAAAAAAAGGAGAAAAAAGCTGCACAGGGAGGAAAAGAGAGGGGCTGGCACAATTTAGCCCTGGCTGAGTGCAGGGAGCACAGGCTGGAGCAATCCCAGCCCAAAGCCAGGGCAGAGCCCTCCAAGGTTTGTCCCAGCAGTCAGTCCCACACGAAGCCCCTTTGGGGTGAGGGGAGGGCAGGAGGGAGCAGGGCAGCGAGCCCCTGCCCTGGCATCCCCCTGGCATCCCCCCTGGCTCAGGCAGCCACAAAGGGGCTTTGTTGGGCTGGAACCAGCCCCAGACAGGAAGGTTTAAATGAGGAGAGCAGAGCACACGTCATGCGCTGCAAGAACTCCCTGAAAGCCTCGCAGAGAATCTACAGCTTAAAAAATCTCTCCAGCCACTGCCTGAATAATTAAAGCCACTAAGAGGACATGAAAGTCTCCTCCATTAATCAGTTCTATTTCCTAACACCAATGCCAGCTTTATTAGTAGCTTAATAAGATCACATTTTTATTTTTGTTTACTTATTTAAACACTTCACCAATTAACCAGCTTAAAAATTGAGACACTCAAGGCAAAAAAAAAAAAAAAAAAAATCAACCAAACTTTTCTCCTGCCACTTTTCCATGAGTAATTAATTCTGTCATGCACTGGGATCAGTTTTTTTCATTTATATACCCATGCATGTGTATTTTTATTTACACACCCACCCTCTTCCTGCTCATAAAGAGAACCTCTTTAGGAAAAAAAAAAACTAAACAAAAAAACAGCATAAAAAAGCAAGAGCAGCAAGGTGAACCATAAAGGCTGGAGGAGATAAATCATTTCCTACCACTTCATCTTCAGTCCAACACTTCTCAATCAGCTTTGGCACAGGTTTCTTCACCAAGCGCTGCAGGGCTTTTCCAGCGTCGTAGTTACTTTCATGTAGCTGAAAAAGAAGGAAGACAAATAGATCATTCAAAGGAATTAGCAGTGATCTGATATTGGAGGGGGAAAAAAAAAACCACTACAGGGAGCCACATGAGATGTTCTCTGCCTAATTATTTTTCCTGATGATGTATGAAGTGAGGTGTAAACAACCTGAGGGGTAACTGAGGTTTCAGCAGGGGAGAGGCAGCACTGAAGCGAGCAGGGATCCCCCTCCCTTCCTACACCTGCCCCAGGTAATGTTCAACCCAAAGGCACACTGCTCCCTCCCACTCACAGGGCTCAACGTCAGCCGTGACAAAATTAAAATTAATGCACTTTGGGTTGGACTTCACACAACTTGGCTCCAGTCTCCTGTGGTCAGCAGGAGAAAAAAATAAAAAATAAAAAACTGTAAAAAAAAAAATAGTTCTAAGGCTCCTGTGGCAGGCAATGCCTACTTAGAGGCATGAAAATAAGATGTTGCCTTTTCTGCTGGGTACACATTAATTTTCCTCCCTGTTTGTACTCCAGCCCTGGGAACAAATCCATCTCCAAGAAAAAAGCACTGTTTGTTTTGCCAGCTCACCTTGCAAATGCCTCTTTTCCGTGCATGCCACTACCCAGAGGATTTTTCTCTCAGGAGATGTGACAGTGCTGAGCAGAATGGAGCTCCTGTTTCCCTCCCCTCCCTGCTCCCTCCCAAATCAGGAGCAATGCCAAAGCCTCTTTGTAACTTGGAGGGCATCTTTATTTTGCCTCAAGGACAACACGTGTTTTTCCCTGGCACTGCCCAGGCAGCTCAATCTGCAAGGAAAAATAAACCAGACAAGCCCAGAAAGAACAGCCTGGGCTGACAGGCAACTGCTCCAGAAAAAGAGAAGTTCACAGGGCAGCAAGGCTGCCCCAGATCAGGCACAGATTATGTGGGATGAACTTCTGAGCAATAATGACATTAATAACAACCCCAAAGGCCAGCACAGGAGCCATGGAGCACAGAAGGCCCCTGTGAAAACATGACACAAGCTCAGGGTCTCCTGAAAAATGTTAATTTTAGCAGGTGGGAGTGGGGAAAAAAAGGTTTTATAAATGCCAGGAGTAGAATAATGCAGCACAAAGGAAAAATATTTTCTCTAAGTGCTGGAGTTAAATTTACATGTTCCAGCCTGGCTCATTCTCTGCTTTCTACTTGCAGCCATTTGTATTCCTGAGCACTTTACTGGCAAGGTTCAGAGTATAAATAACAGCTAATGATGACTGCCTCTGCTTTCATTAACTTCTGCTTCAACTTCTCCAGGTACTTCTATAAACACTGCATCATTGTCCAGGCAGCCAGAGAATCTCCATTTTTAGCATTAACTCTGCATCCAAATTTGGCACCTCCGTGAGATCTGATCTGTGAGCAACTGCAACAAAGAGAACCACCACAAAAGCACCCTGAAACAGAAAATACAGCAACTTCTGCACCACTGGACAGGATTAAAGCACAGTTCTGGTTTGCAGGTGCCCCAAAGGCTCCTTTCCACTGCTGATACAGAAAGGCAGGTCCCAGGGAAGGGATTTCACATCAAGGCTGCACATTCCCACAAGGTTCCAGCTCCTCCTGCATTCTTTGAGCAGAGCTGCCATTTCTGTCTGGGTGATGCTGCAAATAAATTCTCCTTTGGCATGGCTCAGCTGTCAGGCACCTCCAGTCTGTAATGAACCCATGAATTACATCTTGCAGCTCTGACATCTCTGGGCTTGCTCATCAAAATATTGTTCTTCAATTGTAATTTATAACTTAATTTAAATGTCCCTTTCCTGTGACCTTTTTAGAGCAGAGTGCCATTGCATCTGGCAGCTCCTGCTCCAGCAAGGCTTCCTTTGGCAATTACAGCCATTATGCTGTGCCTTGAAAAGCCCAGCTCAGTCAGGCTGCATTCAGGGCTCAGCATTAAATAATTGCAGTCCATTAAGAGCACTGAGATCCCAGAGCCTTCTTCTCCAAGGAAAAATTGCTGCAATCTGCTGGGAGTTTTACTGAGCTGCTCCAGAAGCACCGAGTGCCAGCCTGGCTTGGGCTGGACCTTGGAGCAGAAGGGATTGTCCAGCTAAACCCACTTCAACAGGGCTGCAGCACGTCCAGCATGGGTGGGACAGCCCTGCAATTCCAGAGTTCCCCAGCTCCAGACTGGCCCTTCCATGGGATGGTGAGGGAGAAGGAAAAGGACAAGGAAAATGAGGAGCAGGATGGGGATGGCTGCCACGAGCAGCTCCATCTTTGGTGTGACAACTCCAACCCAACACCTCCTTTGATACAAAATGCAATTCAGGCCACTTCTTTCAGCAGCAGAGCTGACAAATTTCAGTGGGCTGTGGATGTTCTGTACAGCTATGCACATCTTGCCCTACTATGAAAACAGAATATGCTCCTTTTAATTGCTATCATTGCTAAAACCCAGCAAGACAGGAGCCCCAAGTGCCCTTTAGGGTATAATTTGGGTATCAGATAAAATTTTTTTTAAAAACTAACAAAAACCCCAACTTCCAGCTCTTTCCCCCAGCTCTAATCTATTTTAGGCATCTAAAGAGCTGCTGCTGAAGATTAAAAAGCCTGATGTTTGTGATGCCCTGGCATTGCCAGGGAGGTGCCAAGCAGCCCAAAATGCAGCTGCAAAACAGCTGTGGGGCACTGCAGGCATGGCCAGTGCTCCACCAGGGCCAGGGCAAGAAATTACCTGCAAAACTCACCACAGCACTTGAAAAACACCTTTCAAAAACCAGCAGTATTTTGTATATTCTCCCAAAATGTTATCAGCAATCACAGCAGTGGGGTTTGGCCCCTTCTGCCCTGCCTGTAAGAGCGAGGATGAGGATGGATGGAAACTCCAGTGGCACAATTGTCTCGAGCACTGAGGTGGCTCCAGCCTGGGACAGGCCTGGGCAGGGAGTTTGTGTGAACCAGAGGAGCAGCTGCTCATTAACATCAGCCACCAGGAAAACCAGTCGTAAGGAGAAATGCTAACATATATTTAAATAATTTTTTTTAATGCTTTCAACCTTGTCTGTAGTTAATGAACAAGAAAATCTGGTCTAAGGGCAAGTTAAAACAGGGAGTAATTTGTCTGGGTGACATCTTAGTTAGAAGTGAATTTCCTTGCACTGAGATTAGCCTGTCATGTTTGTCACTCATAATGACACGTTCCCATGCAGCAGAGCCATGAGAAGGCACAACAACACTATTAGTAAAGAGAGATTTACACAATATTAGCATATCATTGTTTGGGCTCTCCTCCATGCAGCACTACATGAGCTTAAGTGGTGCTATTTTTCCATCTGATGAGGATAAACAGGAGTGGCTGGCTGTGATTTCCCCAGCAGAAACATGAAGCAAACCCCAGAGATTCCCAGCTCCACACTGAGCTCGCAGCCTGCCTGCCCCAGGCCTTGCTGCTCCAGGCAAGGCTGACCTCTGGGAATGGATTCTTCCTCTGCAGCTCTGTCAGATCTGAGCACAAAGCAGGGAATGAATCCCTGCTTGGCCTGGGATCTCTGGGAGCAGCACTGCAGAACCTCTGAAGGATCCAAGAGGTCAGGAGTTTCTGCCTTTGCACTGGTGTGGACACAGAAAGGATCTCAAACCACATCTGGAGCTGAATCAGAGTCTGGAGACAAAGAGCAGGGAAGGAGGGAGGGGAAGGGACCCCCAGGCTCCCCCAGCTCTCCCTCCTCAGCACTGCCAGCAGCAGCAAGCTCTGTGCTCAACATTCACCTTGTTCCACCCTGCCCTGCCCTGCCAGACCTGGCACCTCCTCCCCAGAGCAGCAGGAGCTTTCTGGGGTCATTTCTGCACCATTATTATGGGGAAAGGTTTGCAGGAGCTGCTGTGTCCTCCTCCAGCCCTCCAGTCCCACAGGGGCCCCATCAGGAGGGCAGCAAACTCCACATGAAAACTTCATTTCCTTCCTAAGGGTTGCAGTGACAGATGTGGCAGCAAAAGCCAAACAAAGGGCCAGGAGCTGGAATTCACCTGGAATGCTGAGTGAATAATCCTCTCAGTGAGCTGAGATATAAATACATGTATGTCATGTCTGTGTGTTGCATTGTGCCTTCCATGATCTTCATTTCTATCTGGCATAATTAACAATAAATCATTCTGGGGGCTTACAGCACCTGTTATTACATAAATAAAACAGCAGCAAAGGAGCTTGTCAAGACTGATTTATGTGAAGTGCTACCCTGAAGTTTATTGGATTTCCATAATAAGAAATCATAGCACACCATTTTCTTTTACATTCATCTTCTGGGTTGCATATGGTAATTTCTAAACAAAGACACAACTTAGTGCAGGTTAAGAGGCTCACAAATCATTTATCAGATACATCTGATCTCTTTTAAATAGGTGCTGAACTGAAAGATAAAAAGGCAGCATTTTGTCAGGACAACAGGTGACCCACCTGAACTGTTTAAAGTCAAAAAAGCAGGGTCTCAGAAATAAGTCAAAGTTTCTTAAAATATCCCTGACAGAACTATTATTTATAAGGAAACTCTTTTCTAGAAAAATTCAAAGTGGACAAGGAAAGCATTTCCTAAAATAGATATGCACTAGAAACACAAAGAGAAAAGAACCAGAAGAACAAAACCAAAATATTTTGGGACTAATGTAATTTCAGAAGCAAGAACTCTACCAGTGCAACTGCAGATTCCTCGGGCTGCCAAACGATTAAAGGGAGTAATTAAAGTAGATGGAGAAGCAGTGAAGTTAAATGAATTTTCTGCATTAGGCCATTATTATAGATAAGGGGAAAGAAATTCCAATTCCAAAAGCTCTTTAATGATTATTGACCTTAAGAGAAGTGTGAGTCTCTGGGAAGGATGTCAGGGCACAGCTCAGCCAAGGGCAGAGGGCTGAGGCACTCGGGGGCCTCCATCCCAGGGGAGAGGAGCACAGGGAGCATCTCCCTGTGCAGAATGCATTTCAACTCCAGCCAAAACCCAGACCAGACCCCAAGAGCCAGCTCAGTTCCAGCTGGGGGCCCTGAGCAGCTTCCCAAAAACTCACTGGGGTCACCTTCGAGGCAGCACCCGCGAGTTCACCACCCAGCTTGGAGCTCTGAAAACCACTTGGCGTTTGACAGCAGGTTAGCACCAAGAAATGTGATCCCAAAACGTGGCTCAAGCCTTGATGCAGTGCCTGCTTTGGAGGCCAGGAGGGGCAGAGGGGCAGGAGGCTGCTGCTCCCGGGGTCACTCACTGTGTTCAGGGCGTTGAGGGTGGTGTCGTCCCGCGAGGCAGCCACGCATCCATCCTCCGTGGATCCCCCGTCACACATCCCTGCAAAGGCTGCCATGCTCCTGCAAAGCCAGGGGGACAGGGGGAAACTCCTCAGCTCGCAGTGCCCTGCACACACTCTGCCTTTACACCTCAAATCAGGGATTTTAGGGCCTTGCGACACCGCGCTTCAAGTAAGGTACCACAGAGCTGCCAAGCTGAGTCACCCCAACACAGAATAAATCCAGCATCACAAGCCAATCTAATTTGCTTTCATCAGCCACGAGTCTGCACTGCCAAAGGAGCAGAGCCTGAGCAGGATTACAGAAGCTGAAACCTGCAGACAGAACAGTCTCAGCAGACAGCAAACTTTGTGCTCTCATCTTGGTTTTAATGTCAGAAAACTGACTGAAACTGCACATTCCCCAGCCTCTGAATTCTTGCAAGCTGCAAATAATTTCCTGAGACTCTGAATTACTGCGAAGCCCACCAGTGGGCTTGCTGAACCCACCAGGGAAGAGCTGAAGTGCAAACTGGAGCTCCCAAGGGGACTGAGTCCCTGCAGGGACCCTCTGCTCCACCCTGAGCAGCTCCTCCCTTGTCACCCATCCCACAGCACACACTGCCCTCGCAGAACTCCAGAGCACAGATGATGGAGGCTGCTGTGCTGGCCCAAATCTGAGAGCTCTTGCCTCAAACCCAACGTCTCAGCTGATGCCCCTGGCACCCACAGCATCCCCGAGGGCAGGAGGAGCTGCAGCCACCCCAGCCCTGCCCAGCCCTGCCCAGAAGGCCACAGGCACAGCAGGAAGGTGCCTGAACTCACCTGGCTGCCCTGAGGTACATCAGCAGGTCGCAGTCGTTGACTCCTGGCATCCACACCAGCTCCTCGTGCTGTGTCACCGTGTCCCCGTCCGGGGACGGGAACGGCTGCAGCTCAGGGAGCTTGGCCTGCAAAACCAGGGCACACACACATGGCAGCTGCTCCTCGCCCAGCAGCACGCACAGCCTCTGAAATTCTCTGCAACAGTGGCATCTGGCAGGTGGAAGGTGTCAGACAACAGCTGCTGAAGGGTTTCTTCCACGTTTCGGAGCTCTGGGGACGCCGGGGCGTCGAGCCCAGCCCATCCCCTTCACCCAGCACTCCTTCCTCACAAGGGCAGTGACTTTCCTGATGGTAACTCTGGGCTAGCAGCACCTCAGCCCACGGCCAGCGAGCCCTTCTGCACACAGAGCAGCAGAGATGGGAGGACAGCACTTTGCACTGCACAGCCCCTGGTTTGGAGAGCCAGAGCCAGGGGACAATTCCCCTCAGACACAGCAGCTGCATTTGTCACAGGGATGCTGATCCAGCTGCTGAAACCCTCCCAGAACACACATGAAGGAAGGCAGGAAGGTAGCTACCAGATGGGTCCCATTTGAAATCAGCAAGAAAGCCTACAGATTTGACACTGAGTTTAAAATGAAATGCTCCGTAAATCACTGGAACTCTGAAGGGAAACAAAGACATTTCCTGAAAGGGAGATAGCTCAGCAAAATGAACACTGCCTCTAAATAAGTATTACACTCTATCCAGAGACCCAATTAGCATCTTTAGTCATCTCCTGCTCTGAGATGAGATAGCTGAGAGCCTCTTCAGAAACAGCTTTTAAGCCCTATAATTACCTCCTATACTCACAACGCTAAACGTATTTGAGAGGCAACATTTATACATAACCAGTAATTACAAGTCACAGGTTCAGATGTCTTTCATGTTCTGCTCTTTAATCTGTACTTTATTTTCCTTCTTGCCTGGGAAAATGGCTGTGTCATTGAAGTTCTCTTCTGGCAAGGGATAAGGCAGCCCTGGGATTTCTGAGAGAGAGGCACTGCAGCAAGCAGGGGCTGCAGCAGCCCTCCTGCACCCCTGCACTGAGCTGCATTACTGCAGCTACTCCCAGGAGCAGCTTCCTCCTCCTCACAGCACCCCTGAGGCTGGAGATGTCCAAGGTGATGAAGCTGTGAGCTGCGGCCACGCTGTCCCCAGCCCAGAGCACGAGTGGCACCTCCAGGGCTGGGCACTCAGCCTTGCCTGGCTGTCACCTGCAGCCAGAGGCTGCCCCAGGGACACACTCAGGGCACGGAGGTGAATCCTTAGCACTCTGCAGCCCCACACAACACTTGTCTCCTCTGCTGTCCCTGGGGACACGGGCAGGGGATCAGGGCACTGAGGAGAGCCCAAGCCAACAGCTCTGACAGCTCCAGGGCACAGCTGGGGGAAATGAGGGCTCCAGAGGCAGCAGGAGCCCCTGTGGGACCCCAGGCTCTGGCTCTGCTGCTCACGGAGGGCAGTCACGGAGGGCAGGCAGTGAGGACATCTGCCAGAAGCCAGGATGAGTGAGGGAACAAAGGCAGGCTCAAGAAAGGATTAACAGTATTCCAAATCCATGGGCCTTCTTCCTCCTTTTCCCTCCCCATCCATAAATGCACGTGCTAATTACACCTTAGAGCAGGGTGACTAATGCCTGCCAAAATATTAGATGACAATTTGAGATGAAAGTTGTTTTGAAGGTATCATTTACAGTGCTCTTGTTATGACTACTGAAAAGAACACTACAGGTTTAATTGCCAAGGACTTTTTTTTCCTCTGAAGGCAAAACATCCTCGAGAATGTGACATCAGGTTCCATAAATATTTACTTTCACTAGTTCTTAAACAAGATTTTTAAGAGGGTCTGAATGAATATTCATCACTTGGATGCAAAACTCCAGCACTTGGACACTACAAAGTGAATTCCTCAGGAAAAGGAGAGGCCCCAGCTCCCAGTGACAGATCTGGCCCCATGAACCAGAGCAAGCTGCATGTTAATACTCTTTAAGAACAGATTATTTCCAATGCTTATGAAGGATTTCTCTCAAATTAGAATTAACATACTAGGAACATCTAGAGTCTTAACCTTATTCTGCTTCCCAGTGTGTGAACACCCTCAGCAGCTCCCTCAATTTCTGTTTTAACCATCCAAATGACTTAAAGCACTTCTTTAACTTCCAGCAGTTGCTCACATTCCCTCAATCTTACTCAAGAATTAACCCAATAGCACCTCTGCTACTGAAAATCATGAAGAAATCAACATGTGACACAGAAAAATCCCAGTAAGTGAGCTGAGGAAGGCTGAAGGACTCACTGAAGTGAGTCACCCAGAGATGATTCTGAAATCCCTCACCTGCCTGAACACATGCAGTTTTAAACAACTGTCATCTGCACACATCAAGAGGCCAAAGCACCTCTGGATACTGAGCACAAACAAAGCTCTTACCTGGTGGCTGGGTCCCACTCTGATTTCACCTTGGGTACTGTTTAACCTCCTAGGCACAAAGGAAAAACAGCAATGAGAAAGAATTGCAATTAATGAAATTCAGAGATCTTTTCTGTCGCTGTATTTCCAATGGAAATGGAGCAGAAATTACACAATATTTGGGGAACAGGAGGGGCTGTGCTCAGGTGTGCTGAGTAACCTGCTCTGTGGAAGGTGTTCCTGGGCAGGGCTGGGACAGTGCCACCCTCCCAGGAAACAAATCCTCTCCAAATGTGAGCCAAAAGCCTCCAGAAAACAACCAGAACACATCAAAATGTCCTCCCCCAATGCATATTTCTGCAAGACAACCTGACACTTTTCTTGTTTTCAGGTTATGCAAGGAAATGACTGAACTAGGAAATCAATTTTCTATTTACAAAGTTCTACATTAAATACCAGGTTACTACAAGGGGTCAGAATCCTTCCCTGTGAGGAAGCTGACAACAGAAAATGCTGATGCTCTTCTCTTCCTCCCAGAATTCATTTTAGGCCATGCACATCCCTGCTCTCAGTGCTCCTGTGCAGGGTTTGTGCCCACCCTGAGCCCTGGGCTGCTTCCAGCTCAGACAGAAGAACCAAACATCCCCCAGCTCCCAATTTCTTCAGCTGCACCACACTCAATACCATAAACAGACATTTAAAACCCAAGGCTGGACCATCCTCTAATTGCAAAGTTAAAATCAAAGTTTGGGATGGGACTTCTGCTGCTGTGGGACCCCAGTGGGGCTCTGCAGCCACAGAAACATTTCTGGGTGTCTTTCCAGCCCCAATCCCCATTTCCTGGGAACATTCCCACCTCCAGGTGCTCCCTCCCCTGCCCAAAGGTTGAGCTGCTCTGGCAGGCTGCTCCACATCCCCCCTGGATTTTCAAAGGGCACAGAGCCCCTGGCTGCTCAAGGACAATCTGCTCTGTGATTTCTGCTGCTTCCACATCCCCAGCAATGGCTTTCAAAAGGAGAGAAAAATCCTTGCTATGGAAACTAAAATGCAGTGCAGATTTGAAGCTAAATCATATTGGTGAGGGCAATTACAATGAGAATGGAATGGCATCCTGTGTTTATTCGATGGGAAAGGGAAAAAAGGAGCCAACACTGTATATGAAATGTGACACAAAAGAAACTGCTGTAACAAAGCAGTATCCATAGCAACAACAACTTAATATTTCAGTCCTCCTCAGCTGCAGTGGATTAAATATAATGACAAGATGTTCCCTTTGAAAAGTAACCTGTTGCCATGGCAACGTTGTGTTCTGCAAAGTAAACAGGGGCTGGTCAGAAAGGAGCTGGGAGCCAGAGCTGGAATATCAAAAAGGCAGGAGGAGAGCAGGGCAGGCAGAGGCACAGAGCCCCAGCAGGGCAGGGAGGGCAGCTCCAGCTCCCCTGGGCCAGCAGGGCACCTGGGGGCTCCTGGGGGCACACACCCTCCCAGGAGGGCACCCAGAGCAGCCCAGGGCTGGGCACAGCTGGGGCACAGCTGGGGCACAGCCCTCCTTCCCCCTCTGGGCAGGAGCAGACAGGGGGGAAAAGGCACAGCAGAGCCTGCACAGTTACCAGCACAGAAACCAGCTTCAATCTCTGTCACCTGCCTTGTCCCCAGCACTCACCAGTCACCCAAGGCTGGCACAGCAGGGCCAGCACAGTTCCCAGCACAGGAATCAGCTTCATCCTCTGTTTGTCCCCTGCCCTGTCCCCAGCACTGACCAGTCACCCAAGGCTGGCACAGCTGGCAGCTCTGTCCATGCACACAGTGCCACCAAGGGCAGGGACAGGGCCACCAGGGGTGCCCCAAAGCCCAGCAGAACAGCTCTGGGGAGGAGCTGGGACAGGACTCTGCTCAGGATTCTGTCCAGGAGGCAGGGCTGGCAATCACAGCACAGCTCCCCCAGGGCTGGGGCCATGGGGTCTGTGCTCAGCCCTGTCCCCCCTGCCAGCCCCCTGCCCAGGGAAGCTCTTGGCCAGGAGCTGGCAGCTCCTGCTGAAGCACACCCAGGTGCCCTGCAGGGCCAGGGGTCTCCTGCAAGCGGGGATCTCAGCAATGCTGCTGCTGCTGCTTTCCCCTTTCCCTTTCCCCTGGCAGAGCTCAGCAGCACAGCTGCCCTGCAGTAAATGCACATTTTTCACCCTGCTGCAGCTCCTCTGCAGCTGCCTGGGTTTGTTTGTGCTGCTGTGCTCACCCTGCCCTGGGTGCTCTCAGCCAGCCAGAACAGCTCCAACCCCAGAGACAACTCAGTGCTGCCCTTCAGTTTAAAAAACAACCCAAACAAACCCCAAAGCAAAACCAGAACCCACACAGAGCATTCTGTGCTACCACAGAACCACCCCGGGCACCCATCCCCATTCTGCAGACTGAGGTGATCCCAAATTAAATTACAGGGATGCTTCAACAGAAGAAGGTTTTTAAAGCAGCCACTTCACTCAGCCACAAACCTCCTCTCAGACAGCTCAGGAAGTGTCCAAAAACACTTGACAAAAAGGTCATTATTTCTGTATGGCCAAGGATTAAAAGAGGAAAGGTCTTCAAGGCAGCATATCGAGGGGTTTGGGCTGCGTGTTTGTTTTTGATACACAATAACAAGCTGTAGCACTGAACAATGAATGCCATGAGATTTGGGGTTCTGGTATCAACACCAGTGGCTTTACTGAATAACAGCAGGCCCATGTTAGATATATGTGCTATGGAATAGATTACAAACTTGGCACTGACTAACCAGCCATTATTGATGGCCAGACAATCAATTACATCCACTGAGAGCGGGACACAGCAAAGCAATTCCTAGATACTTGTGATTTCTGCAAAATTAATAGAAACTCCCAAGAAAAATTGTGGTTTTTTAAAATAATCCTTTAAATCAAATAGTCAATACCCAAGATGAAAGACCCCTGCTCTTCAGAGGCAGCTCTAAAACATCTGGCAAGGATCATTCTGTTCCATGTCTAGAGGGACAAAACAGGGGAGAACAAAATGACTCCACTCCAACTTCAGCAGATGAAAACCAAGTTTATCAGGGCCTGAAAGTGGCACTGCAGCCAAGAGCATCTGTTTATGGTCACTGTTGGGAGGCAGGAAACTGGGCCAAGTGGAGCTGTAATTTTAACCCAAAATTATCTTATGCGTGTCACGTTCAACCACTGCACACTCCAAAATACAAAAGGGACAAACACGTTCAGGCTGCACAACCTTTAACCAAAAAAACCCCACAACTACCTCAAACCTGAGTTAAATGAGTTAAACACCTCAGAGGAACAAGCCCCTGAATTCACCTGTGTCCTAAACCTTCATTCTTTAAGCAAGATTTTAAATTTCATTTTACAGAAACAGCATCCTAATGCTCAGAAAATATCCTTGCCCCTTGTGTGCTTAAGCTTCATTCAAAACCTGTTGTAACTGTGTCGCAATAATTAAAAAATATATTTTAAAAATACAAGTAATTTTGTCTTCTGGGTGAAAAATCCAAGCTGTATTTCAGGCACAGGGAAGGTTCTCGTGCCTGCTGAGCCCAGGGCAGGAAGGAGCAGACGTGTCCCAACAGCCCCAGCCTGCTCCTGCCTGCAGGGCCAGCACTGGGGGCTGCTCTGCACCCCATGCTGCTGCAGGAGGAACGAGCTGGGGCCACACAGGAAAAGCTTTCTCAAGATAAAGCTGGTTTGTCACCGTGTTTATAGAGAAAGAAAAAAAAAAAATAAAAAGCCTACAGAGAGTCCCCAGTGGTGTCCCCCAGCCAAAGGTGGGATGGGGGTGACACAAATTCAGCCAAGATGCTGCAAAGGAAGGAAGGAAGGGCTCTCCCCACACAGGAGGTACCTGGCTGGGAATGTTTTGCTGCCAGGGAGCACCTCTGACACCTGCTTACCTCCAGAGAAGGTCCAGCATTCTGATCATAAGTTCAAATAAATAAATTAATTACCGGGAGCCACTGCATAATGCCAAGGTTTTTATCTGCTCACGTGTGGTTTTAGTAGAAGCAGAGTGTTGTTACAGCAGCACTGACCTGGAGGGTCAGTGTGTAAATGAGGTCAGTGCTGGTCCTGTACACTCTCTAAAATGGCCAGGCAGAGCCTTTGCACTTCCCACATTCCCAAATATTCCCTGTTAAAGCAGCCTGGGCTCCACAGCCCCAGCAGAGCTCCTGTGCAGGCCAGTGGGACCTTTGCCACCCAGCCCCATCAGGTCAGAGGCAGTGCTCAGCCCTGGGCTCTGAACCTGCCTGACAGCACAGACGTGAGCAGCACACACGGGCACAGGCAGCAGCTCGTGTCACAGGTGGTAAGCATGAAGAATGGGAAGCATGCAAGGAGCTGGAAGGTATCCCTGGTTCCACCATGCACCTGGAAACAAGCTCTAATTAAAACAAATTACATCCTAAAGAATTGGAAGGAAGGGGAAAGAGGTAATCTTGCTGATTTATGCCTGGAAAAAAAGCTGAAATGAAGGTAGAACAAAGGGAAGAGACTATTCTTCATCCAAAGGACAATATCCAAGCACTTCCCATGATGTATCTGCAATTTCTAACAGCTGTTTGGAGTGGCATTAACTCACCAGACCACCTAGCAGCAGTGCCTGAACTGGGAGAATCTGCTGGGCATGCAGGCAGGACAGAGCTGTCCCTGGGGAAGGGAATGGCTGCAGGAGCCCAGCTGCACTGCCCAGGGACAGCCCAGAGCCTGCACACCCCAAACCTGCCCCCACGGCCACCAGGGCTGCTGGTCCTGGCCTGGGGGAGCAGGGAGCTTGGGTTTCTGTTCATGGTGTCTGGTTGTATTGTTAAACCCAAGTGTACACCTCCACACAGACCTGAGGAGCTGCTTGGTGATGACCTGGCTGCCCAAGCCCTTCTCTTCTGTCTAGAAGGGAACGTTTAAAACCAGTGCTAAGGACACAAGCTGCCACATCCCTGTATTCCTGCAGAGCACTGATGGATGCCTGCACACACTCAAGGAGCTCCTTTATTAGGAATAAGAATGTGTCCAGAGCTCAGGCCTATGGAGACTCCTCTCCAAGCCACGAGGAGAT